CGTCAGTTTTACGTCTAATAAATTTATCTTTGCAGTTCTTATTTTGTATCCACGCTAATGTAATGGTAGAATCACTCCATGCAAAACTCCTTGTTATGCCAGGAATAGCTTCCTTCGTTCTACTCATCAATAGGCTCAAAAGATGGGCTGCGCAAAGTTCTAACTTAGGGATAGTCTTCCTATTATTCTTAGGGTTTATTTTACTTTTGCTTGCTATTAACGTAACGGATTCTCCTACTTTTGCATATACGACTGCTGCACACGCTTTTTCGGAGGCATCAGCGAACCCGTGTAGCTGAACCGCCATGCTAGTCTGCGTTTTTAACCACCTGGGCTTAATTGATTTTAAATTTTTCTCGTACAGATTCCACTCAGCTAAATCGTTAGTAGATAATTCTTTATTCCAATCGTTTTCTTCTAGCCAAAGCCTTTGCATAAATAATTTTCCCACTATAGTCACTGGCGACAACCATCCTAATGGATCATATATTCTTGCGAGGTTTGATAGCACTAGCCTCTTATTTATTTTTTTATTGTTTTTCAACTTAACTGCAAATTTAAACTCATCTTTAAAAGGTTCCCATTGAAGACCCAAAGTTTTAACTGATTCCGTTTCCTCTATGCTCAGTATTTTATTTTCACTCGCATTTTCAATTTTATCAATAATTTCTTTCTCATTGGAGATCCATTTTCTTAAATTCATTACTACTTTCTCCAGCTCCATTGAAATCAAGCATACTAATTTCTTGGACTCTTTAATGCTGTCTGATCCAGTCATTAAATCATCCATATAGAAATCGTTTATAATCACATCTTTAATTGACATACCCTGACATCGATTTCCTATCTCAGCTAACACCCTGGTTGCTAAATACGGAGCTGATGCCGTAGCATATGTAACTGTGGTTAGCTTAAAATCTTTTATTTTGCTTTTGGGGGAATTTCTCCAAAGTATATGCAAATATTCTTGATCTTTTTCCGAAATATTAATTTGTCGGTACATTTTTTCAATGTCTGCTGAAACTACATACTGCCATTTACGCCATTTTAGAATAATATCGAAAATATCTTTTTGCACTCGAGGTCCAATCCACATAATGTCGTTAAGGCTTTTATTATTAGTTGTTTTTGCAGACGCATTAAAAACAACTCCTAACTTTGTTGTTAAGCTCCCATCCCTAATTACGGCTTGATGCGGCAAGTAATATTTAACTTTAGACTTATATTCAATCGTATGACCTAAGTCTATATATTCAGTTATAAACTAACAATATTGTTGTTTTAGATTTTCATCTGTACTTATTTTTTCTCTAAATTTAAAAACCGTGCCATTGCTTGGTTTTTTAAATACCCTAAAACCTGATCATCTTTAAAAGGCATTGAGACCACATATCGACCTGATGAATCTTTTTTAGTTTTTTTTATGAAATTTTCTTCGCATATCTGAAATTCTAAATCATCTTTACTATCTTCTTCTAATTCCCAAAACCTTTCCAAATCCGTACACTCGTTTACAGTTGCAACTATTGTGTTATTGCCTTTTGACTTTGTGCAGCCCGACACTATCCACCCGAACTCAGTATTCTGACCTAGGAGTCCGTCTATTTTTTTAACTCCTCTTTTAAAAATGTGCGCGTTTAGATCTGCACCTATGATTAGGTCTCTACTTGGCTTATAAAATTCGGGATCAGCATGTCAGTATTTGTCCCACTTTGTCGTATCAATATTAACCGCTTGTACTGGAAGAATAATCGCATCTACTGTCAAATTATTTTTATTTTCTTGGTTTGTTTTCATTTGTAAGCTAACTTTGTGCCTTGAAAAGCATGTTTTAACTGAGGAAACTCCACTAATCTCCATATAATTTTTAATTTTAGGTAATTGGAGAATTTGTGAAGCTTTCTCTGAAATTATCGTACTTTGAGACCCACTGTCAATCAAAGCCCTTAATTTTTCATAGCCTCCATTTCTTGATTTGACCTCAATTATGGCTTGGCTAATAATACGTACTCTTTTGTTCTACATGTGTTCACTTTTTCTGGAACTTTAAAATGAAGTAACGTATGGTGAGGTTTGTTGCAAGTCAAGCAAAGCTGCTCGCTTGTGCATCTCTTAAAATTCTTATGTTTTTCTTGCCCAGTCATTTCTCTCTGCTGGATTCATTCTTTTAAATTTGTAGCACTGGACTAAATAATGTCCCGGTAATTTACAATACGCACAATTTTCGCTATTATTACTATGCGTTGTATTTACGACTTTCTTTACAGGTTTCTCTCCTTGTGACAATGATGATATGGAATTGAGCCTTTGCTCTAAAAATTCCATAACATCCGAAAGAGCTTGCATGTCTTTTGTATTTTTGACATGACTTTCATATAAATTCAACGAGTCTTTATTAAATTATTATGTGATTATGTGGGCAAAAATGGCATCCACCTCTTCGGACAATTGTGCCTTCAATTTTATGATATATATTGACTCATTTATTGAGTCAATGAACTTTTTAATTTGCCTATCTGAATCTTAATTTAAATTGGACATATCCAAAAGCCTATTCATATGTACCGAGAATATCTTTCTTTTATTCTCGAAACGTTTGGTTTAAAATTCTCAAGTGACTTCGTAATTTTCGCCCGCGCCTAGCAATAAATTAGGGACAACACTTCTGGCTTCTCCTTTTAATGCTGACTTTAGATAGTTAAATTTAAGAGATGGACTTAAATCCTCTCTTGAGTGGATTAGCTCTGTGAAGAGTTCGTAAAACAGATCCCACTCTTTGGAATCACCAAAAAATGTGGGAATCTGTATTTTAGGCAGGGTTGGTAATTCCTCTGCCTTAACCACCATCGACACGTCAGCATGCCTATTAACTACGCTGGGTCGATTTTTAATGGCCGTTAATATGTTTTGCGTATCAAACTCGATATCGCTTATCATTTCATCAAACACAGAACCCTCGAAATAGGTATTAACCTGTTCAATTAGGTTCTGTATTTTATTCCATAAAAACTCAATTTTTTTTTTCCATACAGTAAGAAAATTTGGACTATTGTCTATGAGAGTAGACGTCTTATCTAAATATGCTTTTAAATTGCCTACCTGACTTCGAAATGTTTGCTCTATCCTGGATGCGCTTGAAGTGCCTGGCAACTTAATCTCTTTTTCCATGTTGTTTATCTTAGAAACGTATTCTGAGACTCTTTTTCAAACCTTAACTTGATCTGAGCCAACACCATCATAATAATGTCATACTGCTTGGTATTAAAATATTCATGATCGACAACGCCGATCTTTAAAAGAACAGTATGATTTGTAATAAGGAGTTTTTAAGCTCTTCTGATCGTCCTATGTCTAGCTCTGTTAGCCCTATCTTTGTTTCTAACTGTCTTATTTCCAAAATAATTCCGGACTGCTTCTTTAGCAAATCTATAGTTTTTTCCGACATCATTTTGAAATTATTATTTTTTTAGGGATATATGTATATGTATGTTAATAAAAAAAATTTTTTTATACCCTTTTATAATTTTATTCAGAAGTTTGCAACGCAGTGAAGGAAACATCTCCGACCCTATAAAGTACATATATTTTTTATTCCGTCTGTCCGTCTGTCCGTCCGTTTCTACGCAAACTAATCTCTCAGTTTTAAAGCTATCTGCATGAAACTTTCCCAAAAGTTGTCTTTCTATTGCAGGTAGTATATAAGTCGGAACGAGCCGGATCGGACGACTAAAGCATATAGCTCCCATAGGAACAATCATAAAAATAAATAAAAAAATTATAACTTTGGTGTTTTGTAATTTTTTTTTTTGTTCTTCAAGATATAGTAATGGTTAAATATTTCAGAATTACGGTTTAAATTTCTTCAAAATCGGACGACTATAGCATATAGCTCCGATAGGAACAATCGTATAGCCACCATAGGAACTATCGAATAATTAAGCTGCAAATCATTATAGCTTCAATGTTTTTAAACATACACGCAAGTAAATCATAATTTTAACGTTTTCAAGAATATTTAGTTTTTGAAATAGATGCAAGGGTATATGAACTTCGGCTTGCCGAAGTTTGTTTGCTTTCTTGTTTTATATTGACTTAGCTGCTTCCGTTGCCGTCGCCAGAGTAGTCGTTTTAGTTGTTGTAGTTGCTGCTGAAGTCGCCGCCGCTTGTCCTATCGCCGCTATGGTCGTTGCAGCTGTATTTTTAGTTGTTGTTGTTGCTGCTAAATTCGCCGCCGCTTGTCCTGTCGCCGCTCTGTCGTTGCTGCTGAAGGTGCTGCGTCGCTGGTTTTTTGTTTTTATTTTGGCACTTTTCGTTAAATGCTTAATTGCATTTATTTTCCCGTACAATATCGCTGATGTTAAGGGCCTCAAGCACGCCCTACACGACACTGTCAATCTCTAAGCTACCTTTAGTTATTTACTACTAAGAGGTGCTTTTTTTTTGTTATATCTCTTGATCACTCTGAACCTCTTACCACAGGGGGGAAAGTTACTGAGTCTCGAAGGATCACAATGATCGGCTCGATTGACCAAAATGAAAGAGCGTCCAATAAACACGCCTTCTTTTGTTGAGTTGATATTTCAAACTAGTTTTATTTAAGAATATCTTCGACTTAAATAGCTAACATGAGACTTTAAACTATTCTTATCTTTAGACTTAGGAATCGGTATATCCCCGATTCCGGGAAACATGCTAAGGACGATAGAGGAGATAGCAATTACTCCGATCGCACTTATCACTGAACATGTGGTGACCACTCGCAGGAGGTCATTTTACAACCTTTTTACCTAGTTGTTTTAGGTATGCACACATGTGATACCTTTGGTGTGGCTACAATTCCGATACCTAAACATACATTTGTATATCTGCGTGTTCATGTTTGAACATCAGGTGTATAGCACAACGGTCTTGAGTATACAACCGCGCTATCTGGGCGATTAGAGTTTGCATTTGCTCAAAAGTCAAGATCGTCTTTCCCACGACGCGTCGAAGGTGCAATTTCACAGAACGTACCGCTGACTCCCATTTTCCGCCCAGTGTGGCGAGTGTGGAGGTATGAAATTCCATTTTATGCCATCGGTGGCCAAAGTTTGCGCTACTGTATTACGATGCTCCTGTGAAGATAAAAGTTGCTGCATTTCATCTAAAGCCCGCTTGGCACCAACAAAATTCGTCCCGTTGTCGCTAAAGATTTGAGAACATTTCCCACGCAGGGACATGAAACGACGAAGACATGCTATGAAGGTGTCTGTGCTGAGATCGGTGGCCAGTTCCAAGGGAATGGCTGATGTAACGAGGCAGACAAACAGACTTATGTAGCCCTTAGTTTTCCGTGGATTTCTCCCTCTTCTTTCCTTGAAAATAAATAGTGCAGCGTAATCGCACCATGAGTGCTGGAAGGGAAGTGCTTCTGCAATGCGAATCCCCGGTAGATCGGCCATGAATTGTTGTGCTGTTTGACTTCGTTGGCGAAAACATTTGATGCAATTGTGCACCAGATTCCTTATGAGGTTGCGTGCGCCAAAGACCCAATATTTTTGGCGGATAATGACAAAAAGTGCTGAAACTCCAGGGTGCAGATCTGACGCATGTTCCAAAATCATCCTTGTAATACTGTGCGACTTGGGAAGCAAAATTGGGTGTTTGACATCAGCTGGTAATTGTGAATTGTCCAGTCGTCCACCAACTCGAAGAAGGCCATCCTTGCTAATGATCGGTGAAAGCTTGATGAGCTGGGAGCGGCCCTGAAGTGGCTTGTTCTCCATCAGTAGATTGTAGTCATTCTTGAAGCATTTCTGAGCCTCTTGAAGACAAAGAATGCGAGCAGCCTGCATCTCCTCAAAGGTGATTTGCAATTTGTCAGCGTGCCTGACTTAATAGCCTTGATCCTTTGGATGAAGCGTAGGGAGTAAGCTACAATGCGAACCATTTTTGTCCAGGATGAGACCCGCTGAGACAGTGCTTCGATCGGTGACAATAAGATGACCTCATGAGTAGTCAGTGCGGTGGTCTTCACCTCTTCTTTACCATGGTTTTCTGAAATAGAAGAACAGAACTTTTGGCAGCTCAACTTTACGTCGAGTTTTTCTTGATCTTGCAGCCATGGAGGACCCATCCACCACAGGTCGAAATGAATGACTTCTGCAGCCAGCATGCCTCGCGTGGCGCAATCAGCAGGATTTTCCTTAGTATTTACATGATGCCAGGCATTGCGAGGTATAGTATCGAGTATTTCTGTCGTTCGGTTTGCCACAAATGTTTTGAGTTTCGATGGTGGGTGTGAAAGCCATGCCAAAACGATGGTTGAGTCGCACCGTGCTTGTATGACGATGTCCTCGTGTTGTAGAGCATTTTTGATTGAAGAAATGAGTCGACTAAGTAGCAGAGCTTCACACAGCTCGAGGCGCGGTAGTGATTGCTGCTTCAGCGGAGCAACTCTGGTTTTTTCAGCTATAAGTGATACAGAAACAGTACCATTCGCGCGTACTAATCTGCTGTAAACAACTGCCGAATACGCCTTGATAGAAGCATCCGAAAATCCGAACAGTTCGATGTGATTTTCCTTGTTGTCAATAAATCTTGGCATACGTAGCTCTTGTAGTGCATTCAAGTCGTTACGGCATTTGTTCCACCATTCAGCGATTTTTGGAGGAAGTTCCGTACCCAGCCGAGATCAAGAAGCCACAATTCTTGAAACAAAATTTTGAATTTAGCACCACTGGCGATAGGACACCCAGCGGGTCAAAGATGCGTGCCACGTCAGACAGCACTTGTCACTTAAAGTTCTTCGGATTTGATGAAAGGCAAACTTTAAATGAGAGCGTATCTTGCTTTGGGTCCCAATGGATGCCAAGAATCTTCGCTGTTGAATGGAATCCTTTTCCCTCACAAGTGAGCGTTGCTTCATAAATGCGTGGCGAGTTTGAGACCCATTTTCATGCCTGCACATTCCATAAGTTTGATTAACTCATTTTGATTGCGAACGAGCTCTTCCTCTGTGTATGCTTCAGTGAGTACGTCGTCCACATAAAACTCCTCCTTTTCGACTTTCGCAGCAGTGGGAAATTCGTGTTGATGGTCGTAAGCTAATGATCCAAAACTCTAACTGCCAAAAATGGTGCGCTAGACGTGCCGTATGTTACCGTGGACAGTTCATAGTGCTTAATGAGCGAACTTTCATCATCTCTCCATACAATTCGGTGATAGCTACAATGCTTGGTAGCCACCCAGATTAGTCTGTACATTTTGACGATATCTGCGGAGAAGACGAACTTAAACATTCTAAATCGGATACAAATTGAGAATAAGTTTCGCAGGATACTGGGACCAATGTGTAGCGCGTCATTCAAGAAATTTCCGTTAGTATCCTTAAATGATCCGTCAAAAACTACCCTTAACTTTTGGGTAATTACTGGATGATGTGGCAAGTAGAAATTTGGTTTCTTGCCAATATCTTCTGGCGATAGTTCTCGCATGTGACCTAAGTTGAGATACTCATGCATAAACTTTACATACTGTGAGCGCAAATTGGGATCTTGCATTAGACGGCGTTCTACTCCCTTGAATCTTGCGAGTGCTCCCTGAAGAGTATCCGAAAACGGCTTATTGGGGTCTTTAAACGGAAGTTCGACGATGTAACGCCCCTTGGGGTCCCTTGTGTGTGTCTTCAAAAAGTGCTGTTCAACTTCATCGTTCTCTGGTTTGCGATGAAGTTCCTGGTTGACATCCTCCAGCTCCCAAAACCGTCGAAGTGATGCATCAATGTCAATAGCCGTGTGCATAGTTGTTGTAGATGAAGAGCCTGTAGTCACGATCGAAGTACCCATCCAAATATGGTCGAAATGGCGATGATCTGTCCCTGGCTGTCGAACAGCTTTTTATCAGTGAATACGGTCCAAACGTAATCAATATCTACTGGCGCCAACGATTGGTAGTCAGAATATGCAAGCTCCAAGCCATCGAACGTCTTAAGTGCTGAGACGTTGATATTGTGTCTTGCCAACGTGGAGGTAATTTTGCTGAGTACGTGGGCACGTACCTTCATTGTGTGTTCTGATATTCTTGACTGAATATCCAGTGCGCTGCAGCCTCTAGTTGTCTCAGCCTTGATCGAAGAAATTTCCGACACCAAAATTCGTGATGGCAAGCGCGCCTGCACGCATCGCTCGGAGAAGTATGACAGTTCCGAACCACTGTCCAAAAGCACCCGACAGGAAGTGTGTGATCCTTTGGCGTTGCAAACGAGTACTAGAGCTGTGGGCAATGCGCTTTTCCGTAACCCTTGTGGCTGTGTAGTAGCAGCTGATCCGTTGTACGAAGATTCAGCGCATGGAGTGTCTTGTACACGAGCAATGTTGCTGATGGTCACCGTTGCATCCTCTGGAGCGCCGAGGTCGCGCTGCTCCATATCCCTTGAATGTGTCCTGGTTACAGCGGCGTGTGCAGTAGAATCTTCTACGTGTAGTAGAGAGTGGTGACGATTGTGACAAATTCTGCATGTGAATTTGGATTCACACCTGCGTGACACATGCCCGAACTTCAAGCAATTAAAGCACAAGGATTTAGCTTTGACAAAAGTGCGTCTCTGCTCGACTGATAAGTCCATAAACTTTGGGCAGATAAAGATATTGTGCTCCTTGGAGTTACATTTAACACAAGCACCTTCCTCCGTTGATACCAAGGCGTGTGACGATCGCTTAGCTGTGTTTTGCTGAGAGCCAACTTGGAAGACTTTGTCAGGCTCACTTTTGCTGAGCTCAATTTCCTCGCAGCGGCGGTCTAAAAACTTGAGTAGATCGTCCACAGTCGGCGATTCCAGTTCACGGCTGTCCTCAATCCACTTGCGTCGAGTTTCAGTGTGAATCTTGGCCAGAATGAAATGAATTACCCAGCAGTCCCTGCTTATTTGCCCTGCTGCATCCAAGCCGCGTACAATCTCTGTAGCTCCGACTGTTACTTTGGGCAGTATTGATACATCTGCTCTGGATGTCGAAGGTAAGTTTACAAAAGTATCCAGCAGACTGTTTACAATGTGACGTAATCTGTTATAGCGCTTAATCATGCAATTCCAAGCAGACTCGTAAGCTGCATCCGCAATTGACATATGACGTATCAACTCAGCTGCTTCTCCCGTAATGTAGTTTCTCCCGTTTAAGTAGTGAAACTTTTGTATCGCTGTCAAATGCTGCTTGCTGTAAGTCGTGCTCTCGAAGATGTTCTTGAATGCTGGCCACTCCTTGTAGTCACCAGTAAAAGACTTTATGTGTATTTTTGGCAACTCGTTCTGCATTACGTTTGCTGTCGAGTTTGCCCGCAAAAACGTAGTTTGTTGCTCAGCCAAATGTTCATTAAGCTCCTGTTGTTGTTGTAGAACGAACCAGATTTTCGTTTCCCAACCCTGATGCAATAGACAGATTATGGTTGCCAGACTGTCTTCCGTTGTTGCTTTCCACCTCGCTCTCCCTTGCTCCCTTGCAAAGATCGCTCAGTACGTTTTATATGGAGCTTTCCCTCTAATCCTGTAGACGTAAGGAACGGGTAGTGCAACTGCGTACAAATTTTCGGATCAATGATCGTGTTTTGATAACCCAAAGTTTCTCGCGAAGGAGAGAAACTTCTTGGGTCTGGCGTGAAAATTAGTTTTAAAAAAAAACTAAAAATTCAACATAAAGTTTTGTCAGTGGATGTTTCGTGAGTAACAAGGCCGAAAATTTTGCGTCAAACGATTTATCAGCCTGTGCTAAACGACAATTTCTGTAAAAATGGTGTAAGTCGTGGCTGCATGCTTTGATTGCGTTGCAGTGCTACAATTTCGGAAACATGACTTTTATTCCAGAAGGTGTGATTCAGTTCGGTGGCAGACAAATGGAGTATGTTTTCAACCATTATCGATGGGTCTGGCTTGACCTTTTTGACGTAGCGATACACGTAAAAAACTACTCGAAGAACTCTAACAATTTGAGATGAGGTTATTTAATGCTGACTTTGTTCCTGTCTGATCCACTATGTTACATAGTAGAGTAGGTCGATTGTATTCTTCTAAAAAAGCCGAACAATTAATTTGTTGGTGTGGTCATTTGCCTAATGGCTGCATAAGGAAATGTGGTGGCAATTCTGGGGATGGATATGATTTAAGTAGGTGCGACATAGACTTGGCAACAAGCAAGTTTACTTGCACTCCGTCCTGAGCTTTCCTTCGTATATAGATGCAACACCTAAACGCTCTTTTGGATGCATCGGAAATTCCTTGAACCTTGGAAGTCGTCGAGTGTTAGTATGAACAAATCGTGGTATTTTGAATAGCGTTAGATTATGCAGTTCGTCAAGTATTTCTTTCCAGCGTTCTTCCAGTTGTCCATTAATAGAAGTACTTCAGTTAAGACCCTGTAGTGTGCGATCCTGTAATAAACCTAACAACGTATAACGACCGGAGTGATGAGACCTAACAACGTATAACGACCGGAGTGATGAGACCTAAAACATCAAACAATCAAGCGACTACGGACAGAATACATCGGCGTAGAAAACTTCATTGCACTGCTTTGCGTGATGTACTTCCGCTGCGGAAAGGACGAGTGTTGCACTGCTTGACGCGTGGTGTTGGCACTGCGTATGGTTGTCACTACGAGTTTTACACTGCTTACTGTGTGGGATTGGCGCTGGGGAAGGACCGAGTGTTTCACTGCTTGCTCCGTCGTGACTCGTCGTTCGAGTACGTCGGGTTCGTAGTGCTCTGGGTTGTTGAGAGTAACGATCTACTTGATTTATCTAGTGGCATGTGGCACCTGACGTTAGTTTCCACCTGCCGTTTATTCCGTATCGTTTCCGGATAGGGAGCTGGAAAAGTGACTTCTGGGAGGAATTCACTGAGATGGGCCGAAATTACCGCGACGGGGTCAGTGACCACGACCAAGCCTGGGTGCGTATTCGCAAACCACACCGGGCGTCGGTGATCCTCACCAGGTCGTAGAGCCGACTTAAAATCGCACTCTTACGAATCCACCACCACTACCAAGACTATCTACCAGAACACTTACCCGGATATTCTTTCTTAGCGATGTTTCCTCGAGAGTCGTCGGAACGCAAGTCACTGGTCTGGGGCTGTGTCTCCGCTTATATAGACGCCGGTTAGTGTTGCCAGATCGGACGATGACGATAATACCGCTTTGGGTAATCGGGTTATTGGACGATGATTATCGGCAACGGTGGGCCGTTACAATTATATGGCCCTAATACTGTTAGTGCCAGCTATGCAAAGCTCTGGTTTCGTCGATTTCGTTCTGGAAATTTTAAAGTTTAAGTTGAGGCACGCTGCGGAAGGCCTATCGTTAAAAATGCCAAAAACAAATAATGAAAATTGTTGAGTCCGATTTAATTTAAGCAGTAAATCAATTGCCCAGGAGCTAAACAACAAAGGTAGAAGAAGGATGAGCCGGTTCAGGCGGTGACTAAGCACGGATTGACGGCCAGAAAGGTATTGCTGTGTGTTTGGTGGGACTAGCAAGGAATTATCTACTATGAGTTGCTCTATGGCCAAACACTTAATTTGGACCGCCTGAAGAAAGCAATTGCCCAGAAGCGCCCTGCTATGGGCAGAAGGAAAGGAATTGTTTTCCATCAGGACAACGGTAGACCGCACAGGAGGATTGTGAAAACCGACTGGCTCAGTTCCTTGCAAATAAGGACGAAGGAATTTATTAGAGGGGTATCATGAAATTACCTTCAAAATGGGAATCGGTTGTAGAAAAAATGGTGCTTATTTGAAATGAATCTAGCCATAAAGAAAAGCTTTGAATTTCATGTACAAACAATGGACTACTTTTTTCTTTACCTTATACATACATACCTTAGGGGGTCGGAGATGTTTCCTTCACTACGTTGCAAGTTAATGATTGAAATTATAATAACCTCTGCCAGGGTATAGAAAGTTATTTTTTTCATATTTCCTACCCACCCTGTCTTCTCGCCAAGAGGTTTTAGCAAAGAGTCGCAGAGTTAAGCAATTGCACAAATTTGGTGGTGACACTGCGGCTATATTAATTGAGCGCTTTGTTTATTTATTTTTTTATTTCGCCAACGGTATTCATTCCTTAACTGGCTACTTATATATTTAATATATATTTATTTATATTTATATATATTCTTACGCACTAACATTGAAAAAAGTAATAGATCAATTTATGTTTAAGATCAGACTTGCTTGAAAAATTATTAAGTCGCATGCTAGTTGGAAGTTTAATGCACTCACCCAAGGCTTTATAAAGTGGCTCCTTTTGTGAGTAATTAGTCCTGCATAACTCAACAACAAAGGGAGAAAAATCTCGGAGGTGCCTAGCAGGAGCATGCTGAGTTTCGCTTTACAAACTCAAACGTAGCGTACGCTTAAGGCATGATATAGTCAAAGTGTGCTGAGAAATTAAATTTGGAATCAAACATAACACACGGAATCTAGGCATTCTTGTTGAACATTTAAGGGCTGACCAGGAATACTGTATGTGGTTATAAGATTGTAGACGATTTTACTGAAGCTAACATAAACGCATTTATTAATGTTTAGCGGAAGTAAATTTCGGCGACACCATGAACTCATGAAATCTAACTCTAACTGCAGTAATAGTGAGTCTGCTGGAGTTTCGACTTCTTTGAAAATTTTTTAGTCGTCTGCATAGAGGAGACACTCTGAAGAAATATTGAATTGTACATCATTTATAAAAGTAATGAAAAGCTGAGGTCCCAAAGCACTCCCCTGCGGAAGGCCAGATGTTGCCAAATATGGTTCCGAAAATGTTCCATTAATGTTTATTTTGTAGCTACGATGGTTAAGGTAAGATCATATCCAGTTTAACATAGCTTAGTGTATGCTCAAATGAGAAAGTTTTGCCAGCAAGGCACAGTGACAATCTTTATGAAAAGCTTTAGCGACCTGATACAAAACCATGTTGACAGTTGCTTATGTGTCTTTTTAGAAGAAACGAAAGTTTATAGGCAACAACACGCTCAAAAAGCTTAGAAATATTACTTATGTTAGCAATAGGACGATAATTGGAAATGTTATTCTTGGGCTCGGATTTTAGAATTGGAGTTACGTATGAAACCTTCCTTCTATCGGCAAAGTGTCCATTCAAAAGTGATAAATTAAAAATAAATTTCAAGGGTACACATAGCTCTTCAATGCAACATTTGAGGACATAAGCAGGAATCCCATCGCAATCAGGGTTGTAAGAATCGTCAAAGTCTTAAATAGCCGAGTGAATATTATTTTCTTCAACAGTAATCTTCAGTCTTGTAATTGAATCAAAGGTTTGAGAATCATGCCAACCTTCTGATAGATCAAAATAAGCTTTAAAAAAAGAAGCAAACAGATTTGAAGTTTCTATATCAGAATGAGAAGTTAAATTTCCAAGGTACATAGCAGAGGGAACTGAAGAAACTTTTTTTTGGATCTGACAAACCACCAAAAAAAGATCTGGGGTTGAGTTTCAGTTTGCTCTCGATGCCTGCTTTGTACTGATGGTAAAGAAATGTATTTATAAACACAAATTCTCGTTTGTGTTGCAATTGCCTATTCCAATCTCTCGGATCACGCGATACTGTGAATTTTTTATAAAACTATTGCTAAGATTTTTCAGCTTTTTTAGGCCTTTGGTATACCAAGGCAGCTTTAATGAACTTTGCATCCTTTCTTGTGGATTATTTTAATTTATGTTTAAAATAATTTCTAAAAAGTGATCATAACACAACTTCAAACTAACATGCGAAAGAACTTATTGCCAGTCAACTGAGGAAATATCGCTTCTGATAGAACGAAGGTAGCTTTCAGTGAAAATAAACTTGGAAAAATTATTCGCTGAAGGCGTAAAACTATAAAAAGTCTAATGATAGTAGCAATGGCCAATGATGAACATCGCAGTTGCTGATAGGTAAATTACAATCAGCTAAGGAAAAATTAATATCCGGACAAAGAAATACTAAATCTAAGAGCTTATATAACTCATTGAATACATTATTAACTTGTATTAAGCCCATACTGAATAGATCGTCGATGAAAAGAACCTCATGTGGTTGATGTAAGTTACTTGGCAGTAAGGAATGAGAGTCAGGGTTTCTCGCCCAAGCAAGGGATGAAAGGTTAAAGTCTTCAATAACGGAAAGATGCTGTTGTTCCAGTAGATTATCATAGATATTGGTCACGATCTCCAGATGGGCCTTGTAAAGAGAATATGTACTCTTCGGTGGTATAGAAGACGCCACATTTAGTAGCGTATCCACTGGTCCAATAACAGAAACAGC